CTGTTGCTTTTTCCTTGTTTTTATATTGCGGCACAATAGCTGAGGTGTTTTTCACCTGCAGCTAACGTGTATAATGATGATGCTGCGTTGAGTTGGGCACGTACCACGTGTGCTTGGTCACCGCTTACCGAGGAGGCCGTTGTTTCGTTTACCAGATGTAATGTGGCGCAAGGCCTGCGATGGGCGAAAGTTGACTTGGCAGCGGCAAATGAAGTCACTGAAGATCAAACTCGGTGTCGTCGGTCCGTCTCGCCTTCCAGCCTGGAGTCCGCTTGACCCGTCTTATGCTTAGCTTGAAACCTTACAGGCTAGCAGTCGACACCAGTGTCGTGTCTGCTTTCATCTCATAGTGATTTTGTGCTGAGTTATCTGAGAGGTAATGGCTGGTTATGACGCGGGGCAATGAAGGCCTATGCCACTTTGCACAATAACTAGCCGTTTGCGGTGTTATTTTGTTGGCAAGGTGTAGACGCCTTCATCCGAGTTTTTGTTTAGGGCATTAACGATCCCCTTTCTCTCGCCTTATTGTTCTTCACTGCGTAGATCACCGTGGTTGTACGGCAGTGAAGCATCAGTTCAAGTGGGTGATAATGATAATGATGAATCTCAACTGCTGACCAAACTCAGGCAGTCATACACTTCACGTATTATAGATTGACAGCCTGCAGCCTGTCTCTCTCTCTTTTTCCGGTCTGTGTCACCAAACAGTTAACCAGCCTCTCCTGCACTAAACCTATCTGATAACAAGTGTGGCTTGTCCAAGCATGCCTAGTTGAGATAAGCACCAAAGTGTCTTGGACACTTGCTTTGCTTAGCACAAGGAGGGATTGGTCTTTTGAATCCTTTAAGACCCATCACAGATTAAGAGGAAGGAACCCTAAGGTGAACAATGAACAATGAACAATGATTTATCACGAGATAAAAGCAAGTGCTTGACACGTCCCGTAGGATGGTAGCGGTGAATATGATGCAATTAAAATATGTGTGTGTCATCTATCGAACGTCTGCCGAGATGAATACTTTGATAATTAACATCAGTGTGAAATGAAAAAGAAATATCGCGCGTAAACATTCAGAAAGACACTGGGGCGCAGTGATAGTTGAGGTAAGGAGTGAGAAAATAAAATATGGTCGCTCACTTAGGTCCATTTGATACATTAGTCCTGTTGAAAATATGCTTGGCGTAATCCACAACAGAGGAGCTTAGGTAACAAAATGTTGGGAGCTGAGAGCAACATCTAATCGTTTTTTGAAAACATCCAGGGTAGGAGAGGATACTACTGAGTCTGAGAGTGCGTTCCATGGTTTGCAAACTCGAAGGGAAAAGTAATTCCGTCGACACTCTAGACGGCTGTATTGTTCCGTCAACTTTAAGCAGTTACCCCTGAGCTGCGTGTTGTGGCTAAGTTTCAGCAAATGGCGGCATACGTGGTTGGGGTCACTCAATATCTGATACGCTAATATGAGATCGCCGCGCAGCCTTCGATAACGTCCGCTGAAAATTCCCAGCAACTTCAGTCTTCGGTGGTAAGAGTGATACCGCAGGCCCATCACGTTCTTTGTTGCTCTCCGTTGTGGTGCCTCTATCGCTTCTAGGTCGCTTTTCAACCAAGGTTGCCAAGCTTGGATTGCGTACTCAACTTGCGGGCGCACGTAGGAATTGAGCATCATTGGGAAGATTGATGGGTCAAATCTCCCGAATGCCCTTCGCAGCATGCCGACGCGCTGGTTGCCTCTTTTGGCAGCTACCTCAGCCTGTTTTGAACAGTTGAGGTCGCTCTGTACGATCACACCAAGATCACGTTCCTGGGAGCTATTCTGCAATTCGTTTGTCCCAAGTATGTAGGTGTAGTTGTGTCTATGGCGTAATTGTACTACGCGACATTTGTCTACGTTGAACGGTAGAGCGTTTTGAACTGACCAGTTCGACACTGTGTTAAGGTCGTGCTGGAGCCGTTCATGGTCATCCGGTCCTCTGATCCTTCGCCATATCTTGATATCATCAGCGAAAAATAAGAAATCGGAAGTAATTGATCTCGCCAAATCGTTAATGAACACCAAGAATAGACGAGGTCCAAGAACCGAGCCTTGTGGTACTCCACACGTCACGTCGATTGCATGAGAAAATGATTCTCGGACTCTCACCACTAGCCGTCGTTCTTGTAGAAAATTGCTAATCCAACTCAGGATTGGATCGCCAATGCCGTAGTTCCGAAGCTTCTGAAGGAGAACTCGATGGTCTAAACGATCAAACGCTTTTGAAAAGTCCAGGTAGATGACATCGACTCCAGCTCCATCATCAACAGCTTCAGTCCAGCTATTACGTGCAATTAATAGGTTAGTATTACACGAATGTTTTTGACGAAAGCCATGTTGCTCTGGGGCTATTAAATTGTGGCTTTCCAAATATTGCATCAGCGCGTCTGCGACGATTGATTCCATCACTTTGGATAGTACGGGAAGTAATGTTATTGGACGGTAGTTTGCAGGATCAGTGCGGCTACCTCCTTTATGGATAGGAGTGATGACCCCTTGCTTCCATACTGGTGGAATAAGGTTTTCCTCTAGACATCGTTGATAGAAAACAGCCAGTGGTTCTGCTAGATCACTAGCTACTGCCTGTAGAGCCTTTGGTCGGATGTTATCAGCTCCGGGAGAACTGTGGATACGCAAGGATAACAACTTCTTCAACACAGCCTCCGTAGTGAAGGTGATGTTTTCTAAACCAGATGGTGGAGTATTAGAAATGAGGTGAATGTTTGGGCTCGACACTTGTTGGAACGTTTGAGAGTAATGAAGCCGTAGGAGATCAGCTGCTTCCATTGCTGACCGCGTGTATCCATCAGCCGTGACTAGCGCCGGAACCCCTCGCTTTACCTTTCGAAGGCCGTTAATGTGCCTATACAGGAGTTTGTGGTTAGTGCAGAATCGCTTCATTAACTTCTGCTGATGCGTGACCTTGTCTTCGCGGATCAGTTTCACACAGAAGTTACGATGTGTCATGTATGCAGTCCAGGTTTCGGCATTCGGGCAACCCTGGTGATTTCGCCATGCCAAATCCCTCCGGGACATACATTTACGTGTTCTGCTCCTCAGAAATGACTTACTCTGGTTTTTGGGTTGGAAGGACTTCTGTTCCGATGCTTGCGCTACCAGTGTGCTCAAAGTCCTTGTAAACATATCCCAGGCCAAATCTGGGGGGCATTCGAATAAGAAAGTCCAAGATGTATCCTTAACAAGCTTGGACAACACATTGTAGTGCGTGACAGTGTGCACTTTATCCTCCTCCTTTTCCGGGTACTCGGCATAGCATATATAATCAAAGAGTAGAGTGACATGATCACTACGACCCAGTGGTGTGCTTGTAACTATCCCGCCAACCATGAGTTCTTCGTTAGTTAGCACAAGATCTAGTATCGACGGCTTGTTAGAAGTTCGAAATCTGGTGGGAGAGGTTACGTGGTTGTAAAGAGGGTGGCTAGCAATAAGTTCTTGCAAACAGGCTTTAAACTGCGTACCGTCAGTTGCCGGCGTTTCTATGTCGTGCACGTTAAAGTCTCCCGCGATAAGAATGTGGGTGTAGGACTTGTTCAAAGCAAACTGAAAAACGTGGTACAATTTGGAGTCCATTTCCGACGTTGAGTTTGGCGGGTGATAAACCACGGCTAGTAGACATGTGTCCTTGTTTCGCAACCAAAGGCGGCACCAAAGCGAATCGGGAGCTCGGATTTCCGGGTGATCGATAACTTCACATCGGAGGCTTGTATTATAGTAAAGAATCACACCGCCACCCATTCCGGTTCTATCGGTCCGAAGCAGCGACATACCGGGTAACTTGATCTCACAATCGGTTATCTCAGGGTTTAACCATGTCTCTGTAATCATGACGAGGTCCCGCGGTTGTGAGGCATGGAGTTCTCTAAGTTCGGCCAACTTGCTTCGAAGGCCTTGAGCGTTTGTGTACATGCAAGATAGGGCTTTTGTGGTTAGGAGTTCAATGGTGGATGTCAAGTTGGTGTTCGCTTTTAAGCCGGCCGTTAGGTGGCCGGCAATTAATCGTTTTTTGGTTTGTGTATTTCAGTCGTGTTACATGACATTATTGAGCGTTCCTGAACTGATGGTTCACTCGTGCTGTGCTCGGTCCTCCTGTGTGACGTGGGCGCTGTTGTGTAGATCTCTCCGAAGGACTGTGCATATAAAGAATTTGCAGGGTTTGCAAGTTCCATCGAATTTCTTCCGACTTTTGGTCGTTCGCCTGCTGCCTTTAGCCGTATTTCTGTTGGCAACCTAGCTCGAAACTTTAACCAGCTATCCAACAGAGCTTGCGTCATTCCCTCAGAGTGTAGTATTACCTTCATTAGCCTTGGACCGCAGCCCTTGTAGTTAGGTGACAACGGAACTCTTGTTAGGGATTTGGCAATAACATTGTTAACACAGAGTGCTTCGCGGATGTAGCACCACTGTTCTCGGTCATGTGTTTGTGCATGGTGATCAAAGGCATGCAGGAGCTCGGGAACACCATGAACAAATATTGTTTTCTTGCTATCCCTAGTAGCAATACCGCGTTGCTCCACTGCTTCTTTTGCGCGGTCTTTCCAAGGTAGATCAGGTAATATGCGCACTCCGCTCGGTGAGTTGCGAAGACGAACTGCTGAGAGCAGGACAGCCTCTGTCTCATCTGCTGAGTTTAGAGTTACTCGAAGAATTCGAGGTTCACCAGAGTGCACTGAGGTCGGGTGACGTGCTACGCGTTGCAGCATTGCAGGCTCAACCCGAATACCAATCGCCTCGCAGATGGAACTCCACTGGTCATCCGACGTCCTCTAAGCATTACTTCGGGATCTCCTCTCTAAGACCATGTATTCAATATGTCAATAAATAACGAAGATTCGGTGTGCACCGATTTGAATACATTATAATGAGGCTTACCATCATCACCATATTTTACAGGGATATATGGCTTAAGTCCTCGCACGCATAAGATAGCTGATCATACTCACCCGAATACGCATTCGAGCCAAATCCACTCTGCTCACGTGACCTGTGATGGTGACTTGGTTGCTTTTTTCCACCTGACTCATTCGGTTCGAATCGGGAAAGTGAATGTGGCACTGTGTATCCAACATCACGCCCTTGATATTACGGCCACCGCGTCCGATCACATGACTGTGGTCTGTGTGCGGCACATCAATCTTGAGTGTGACGCGATGAGCCTGAAAATTGCGACCGGAAACAGGGTGAAAAACCTACCCGACTCTGACACAGTTCGGCACTATCACAGGGCCTTGATAGTAGTTCTTCATTAGTGGCTGAAAAGTGACGAAATCGGTTAAGCAGCGACCAAGGTGGTGACAAATTTGACCGTTTTCTAGCTTGGTATAGCAAATAAATGACAAAAGCCAGAGTATCAGGAAGCTAAGACCGTAAACGCGGGTTAATAACTCTCTCATATGCACATAGCTTACTTCACTACTGACTGCTCCATAAGAAACATCGCTGGATTATCAACTAAGCAGTACGTGTAACGTCAATATCCCAACGGCACTGCAACTTCGACTACACTTCGGCAAAGATGAGTGCCTAACACCGTCAAGACGGCACATGGACCTCCGAGTAAGACACCCGTTTCCGTTTATTTAAATCAGTGGTTCCCAATCTTTTGAGGCTGTTACCCAGAAAGCGGGTTCACCATAAGAAGTACCCAAAAAATTAGATGAAAAAGCTAATTAACCATTGCATTTTTTGTTTTAGTTACGGAAAAAACACTGTGTTTAATTAACTTCAAGCATTCAACTAAAGCAAGCACCTATTATAAGATATTTTTAAATAACCAAGAGGGGATGTGCGTTAATGAGAGGATTGATACGGCTTAGTTCTGACTGATAAATTTGGTGCGCTCTCGGTTAACACACATCGCACGTCGTGCTTTAATTTCACTCGGTTCCCTGCATTGGTGTATGATCCCTGGGCAAACATGAACAAATGTCAGAGGAACCAACATTATAACAGAATTTACTGAATTCAGTAATTTCGCGTATTCTCCTCAGCTGTTTACATACAATTAGTGGAAAACGGTGCGATGTTAACAGCAAAAATTCAAAGCGGTCGAAGGTCTTTAGGCTCACGTGACCTGTCCCGAGGAAAACGCAAGCACTAGCCTCACCACGGTAGGGCTAGCGTCGTCACGAAATCCGTTTGCTTGCATAGATTTGGCTTCAGCCGCCGAATTGCTGTCGCCTCCGCAAACTGTAGTAAACGGGGATTAGCCAGTTTGCTAACTACCCTGAAATTGCCACGTGGGTTCTGGCATTCAGGGCAGTCAAATATGTGGCGGGCAATAGAGCTAGTCGGTAGCTTCGGAGCCTTAGCTACCATGTTTCGCGGAACATGCTCTGCAATCCTCGCTGACAGCCTTCTCTCAGTTCGGCCTATGTACTTACTACCGCAAGTACAATTAAAGAGATAAATGCACGAGGCGGTAACCTGAGAGTCTGGTCTGTCAACGTTGGATTTCCAGAGCAACTTTCTGACTTGATGCAATACCACTAGCTCAGCCGCATGGTAACACTTCTTAATTGATTGACGGAGGCGATGCCTGCATCTTCGGTCAACTTGATCTCCTTTGAAGGGCAGTGGGATGCATACTTTTTTCTTTGGGACATCGGTTGGGGGTTTATCCTCGGATCGTATTTTCGCGTGCCGAGTTATAAATCGCGCTGGATACCCATTCTCTTGTAGCGTCAAGGTGACTCGTTCTAGTTCATGTTCGATTGTGTCTAACGAGCAAATTTGGCGAGCTCTAGCAAAAGTGGCACGTACTAGAGCTCGCTTATAGTTCATTGGGCAAAAGTTATTCAAGTTCAAGTATTGCCCCGTCCATGTTGCTTTTCTGTACACAGATCGGACGAGTGTACCATCTGGCTTTCTCTGTAAGTTAACATCTAAGAAGTGGAAAGATCCGTCGGACTCGTTTTCCAGTGTGAACTTGATGGCTGGATGGCACATATTCATCAGTTTCAGTAAGTGCGCCGCCTGTTCAGGTGTGTCAACGACGATGAATGTGGCTGCCCATGGCCACGCCGTCGATTTGTCGATACAGGGTTCCATTGAACTGGAACTGAATATCTTTTGTGCATAGGCGCAGTAATGATTTGAGGTGGAGCGCTGGGAACCCAACTTTATCAGCGTGTCTGGCTATTATATCTAGTGTTTCTTCCAAAGGTACGTTCGTGAACAATGATGATACATCAACAGAAACCATGTGTTATAATGTTGGTTCTCCTAGCTTTATTGAAATTCGTGAAGGGAAATGCCTGCATGAAATGTCAGAGGCTTCTCATTTGTTTCAACCATCCCTTCCATGTTCACCTAGGATGACAGCCTCTCACCACTACTCTGTATCGATTCGTCCTGAACACTAAACGCCTGTTTTGTTCCTTCTACCTTGCAATCATTTGCTCTCTCTTTTACCTGGTCGGCTGATCTATTCTGTCATCTGAGTGTTCATTCAACTTGACACGGCGAACGACTGCGGGACTCAAAAGAACAACGGTTGATAAGCAAGCCGATAGAAGCGCCGTCTAGCTGCGCCGCCTTGCTGGGTTGTATTTGTGTTTTATAAATTTTTTTCCGAATGTTTTCACCTCACTGACCATTCACTAATGATTAGTCACTGACCGCAGATCAATAGTGATTGTGCAGTTAATTACATATTTTACTGCAAATGATTCTGTTTTTTATTTTGTTTGGCGCCAGACAGATTGGTAAACTAATCCTCATCCTTATAGTTATCCCCTTGAAATCTCATTTTTACAACTTGTGGGTAATTACCTCTAGGTTGAGAATCCTTGATCAAAACAAATTATATCATCTCGGGTAATCAATTATCCTTCAAACCAGGCGCACTGTTTTCTACGTGCCATAACTCGTTAGAATGTGTGAATAAATAAGGAAACAGCAAACAGAATAAAGCTTAAATGACATACAGGAGGATGTTAGGTGCTACAAACCTATAAAGAATAGTTGCTTTTCAACGGAAGAGCTTATTATCAAAAAGTGAGAGACGATGTGCAAGAGCGTCGTTGACTTGGCGACCACGCTAGGCCCTGTAGAGGCACTACCTGCTGATGTGGTCGATCCCTAATCTCCTATTCGGGAGCCGGCACCGATCAGCTTGACAAAGCTTTATGATTGACTTCAATAACGTGTTAGTCCAGGTCTCCTGCTGTCCGCGATACTGTATCATTCAACCGAGTGCAGCGATGGCGAACAGTGAGCGGCATTCAGTAATCGCAAGCAAGAGACTTCCTAACCGACGTAGATCGTGTATGTGCAGACGGTGGTCCAGTGTGACTACGGATAGTCCGTCCTCTGATCCAGTTGATGGGGCTCAGCGTCCCCTTTTCGGTTCTTCTATTAGGTCCCAGCAACCGTTTGCAGGCACGGACAGAAAGACACCATGACTACATTAATGTTTCTAGCGTGCAGTGGATGGTTCTGACCCATTCGGAGCGCTGGCCAGACTGCAGCTCCTCACACCATAATCCTGATTGACAAACCAGTGATCGCCGTTTCCGTGGTGAAATGAGGTTTGTTGCTACTGACCTCACTGATTCTTGCAGCAGTTTCATCCCTGATCTGACTTCCAGAGGCGATAAAACTACATAGGCAAGTGGACCGGTTGATCGATTTGAGTGATTGCTAATGTTTCATGCTACGTGACAGTTTGCTCAGCACTAGTCCTACCAGCAGCTGGGCAAGGTGCAAAAGAATTTTAATGCCGTTCGGGGAGACTGAGTAAATTAGTAAATCATCCGACAGCCCATTCGGTTTGGATAAAGTAGAGTCGTCCAACGTTCAAATCGGAGGCGTTTCGAAGACATCATCAGATATCATTCGACTAACTATATTCTCCTGTGGATTCATGGTTGATGTCAGTCAAAAGAGTACTCGGTCGCTCTCCGACGGTGCCTGCCCTTCGAATTTTACAGGAGCTTGAAATGTACCATTGGTAACGAGCAATTTTGATTCTTTTGCAATACAGTCATTGCAGTGAACTATTGTGCCGTATGACTTAGAACCCATTGTTACTTTATAACTGCTGCAAGCTACTTGTACGCATACAGCCGGTATAAACTACACATCTTGAACACATCGATCGGACGAGGTAATACGGTGTTGGCCAAGTTGCTATTTAGTAGTAACGTTGGCACAATGACGGCCTATTTTGCTAATAACAGCGACCATTAAAAACAAACCACCATGTTGACGGCCTGCTTGTTTTAAACCCAACATAACACATGGCCAGATGAGGCGCGGAATTGAGGATGAAACCATCAGAACACGAATGTCCAAAGTCCGGACGGCGGACTAAATGCGGCCCGCGTTCACAGTTCAAGTAGCCGGCGGCCTCAAGATGGAATACTAAATTCAAGCTAAATTTTCCGTACAGACGACAATTTATAGGGTCCAAAAAATTAATGACCTTATGAGGAGGTACTTTGATGTCGTCAGATAGTGGCAAAAATCAATGATGTAGTACTGTTTATTTTTAACTAACTATGAAATGTCAATCTATTACTTTACTAAAGGGTCCTAACTAAATCAAAAGTTAGAAATGATCTCTAGATCTCAGTTTCTCCATACACACATTAGAACCTTGTAAGAAACAATTTAAGATTTGTCATTTTTGTTTCTTATCTTAATGTTAGATTGGATATATCTCGACATAGTTTTTCCTCACAAAATTGGCCCACCTTTTGAAATGTTTCGATATCCTTGCTCTATAGAAGACCTATACCTCCTGGAAGCATGTCGCAGAAGTTGATTCTACGGCTAGCCGTATTATTTACTTGAAGTGTTGGTCATAACTACATTTATACCAATGCACTAGTTTCGATTATTTTCTTATTTTAATTAATTAAACACGGCAAAAACGTAACTGGGAATTACTTTGGAAAACTCAAGAATTGCTTGCTAGCAACCGATTATGTTGTAAATACTGATCGGACCACATAATAGGTCTGTCTCACACCGTCGAGAAATATACCTTTCTACTCCGACATGAGCCAATTTTCAACCAAGTGGAAACATCTCTCGTCCTTCCGCGCCAAAATAGTGGGACACGAGGCAAAGTGGGCACTCGCCATTTCATCGGTTACACTTCCATAATATATATGACAAGCGAAACAGCGTTGATAAGCTGTTGTTGGGCTTCTTCAATCATAGAGATGGCTAAGCTACCGGCAGCACGGATGTGTGAAGCGTCGATCTTGTAACGCATGCCAATTAGATTTTTCTAATGCGTTAC